TTCTTCTTCCCTTCCGTCCTTCATTTTACCTTTACCTCTTTCCTATTCCTCCTCTTCCCATCTTCTCTGAATCTTTCTTTTTTCTCTCGTTTTCTTTTCCTCCTTCCACATTCCTCTCTCTTCTCTCCCTCCCTTTCTTTTCCTTGCCTCTTCTCCCCTTTCCTCCCCTCTACCCCCTGTTCTTCTTCCTTTCTTCCTTTCCCGTTTCCTCTCTTCGTCTCTTCTTTCTTTCTCTTCCCCTCTTCCTTCTCTTATCCCTTCTCCCATTCCTTCTTTCCCCTCCCTCTCCTGCATTTTCTCTCCACTTGTTGTTCCCTTCTTCCGTCTTTTCTCTCCTTTACTCTCTTTGTCCTCTCTCTTTCCCTTCCTTCGCCAATCTCTTCCCTCATCAAGACCCCCCCCCCCCCTCGCCCCGGCCCATGGTCCTTTCAGTTTCACCCTTCCTTTTTTTTTTGTTTCTCTTTCCCCGCCTTCTTCTTCTTCTTCTTCTTCTTCTTCTTCTTCTTCTCTCTCTCTCTCTCTCTCTCTCTCTCTCTCTCTCTCTCTCTCTCTCTCTCTCTCCTTCTTCATTTTGCTTCCACCTTGTTTTCAACCGCACCCCTTATCCTCTCCACTTTTTATTTCCTTTACTCCTTTCTTACTCTTCTCTTCCCTTCCTTATTCCTCCAGTTTTCTTACGCTTTATTCTCCTCCCTCTTTCTTCCCTCTTCCTTCACGCTTTTTCTAACTCCTTTCTTAACTTTCTCTATTCTCTTCCTTCTTATGTTCGTCCTATCTTCCTCCTAACTTCTTTCTTTCCTCTTCCCCCCCTCATCCACTATCCCCCCCCCCTCTTCCTCCCTCATCCACACTCGTCCTACCTCTTCTCCATCCTCATCCCCCTCATCCACTATCCTCCCCCCCCTCCCCCCCCATCTCCCTCCCTCATCCACTATCCTCCCCACCCTCTTCCTCCCCCCCCCCATCTTCCACTCCCCCCCTCATCCACCCTCTTCCCCCCCCACCCCACCTTCCTCCCTCATCCACTATCCTCCCCCCCCTCATCACAATCTCCCCCTCCCCCCCACCCTCTTCCACCCCCCCCCCCATCTTCCTCCCTCTTCCTCCACCCTCTCGCCTCATCCCATAGATTTATTACTAGGGTGGCTGACAGGGCAGCTCGGGTATATTACAGCTGGACGCGAGGGTGACTGCTGCAGTATTGGCACAGGACATTGTCATGGATACGAGGGGAGGGGAGGAGGTGGGGAAGGGGAGGAAGTGGGGAAGGGGAGGAGGTGGGGAGGGGGACGAGGTGGGGAAGGGGAAGAGGTGGGTGGGGAAGGGGAGGAGGTGAGGAAAGCGAGGAGGTGGGGAAAGGGGGGAGGTGGAGAAGGGGAGGAGGTGGGTGGGAGGGTAAATAATAGGTGGGAAAAAGGAAGAAGAGGGGGGGGGGATTAGATTGGATTGAGGAAGAGGTGGAGAGAGAGTAGGAGGTGGGGAAGAGGAGGAGGAGGATGAAGCCCGAAAAGGGGAGAGAATAGGTGGGGAAGAGGACGTGGTGGGGAGAGAGAGTAGGAGGTGGGAGGGAAAAGGAGTGAGAACAGGTGGGGAAGGAGAGGGATAGGGAAGGGAAGAAGGTAAGGAAGTGAATGAAGTTGGGAAGGGAATAGGGGAGGAGTGGCAGAGGAAGGAGAAAGAGAAAGAGGGGAGGGAAGGAAGAGGAGAGAGAGTAAGGAAGTGGGGCAGGGAGGAAGTAGGGAGAGAGCAAGGGGAAGGGGAGGGGAGGAGGTGGGGAAAGAAAGAAGTAGGGAAGGGAGAAGAAGGATAAGAGAGAGAGAGGAAGAGAGAAGAGGAGGAGGAGGAGGACAGTAGAGAGGAGAATAGAGCGTTGGCTAGAGGGGAGGAGGAGGGGGCGGGGTGGCACTGTATTGAACAAATTACATCGAAGTTTTGTCACCGTCACTGTCAAAGGGTATAGTTTGCTTGTCAATTTCGTTCGTGTGTTAGTAACTGTTTGCTTGCTTGCTTGTGGCGCCGTTCATACCAACTGTGGCTTATTATGCTGCAGTTATTATGTTGGGATAATGATAAGTATAATAGTAATGATAATAATAATAATGATAATAATAATGATAATGATAATAATAATAATGATAATAACGATAATGATAACAATGATAATGATGATAATGATAATAATAATAATGATAAGAATGATAATAACAATAATAACAATAATAATAATAATGATTGTGACAATAATAATGATGATAATAATATTAATAATGATTGTGACAATAATAATGATGATAATAATATCAATAATGATAATAACAATCATGATGATAATGATGATGATAATAATCATATTTTATTAATTATTGACATATTATTAATATTGATAATACTTATGAAAAATGTAGAATGATAATGAGCATAATAATGATGTTTAAAGTTGATGGGTTGAATCTAGATAATATTAGTAGGAAAAGCAAAAGAAAGGATAATGGTTACAATATCAATATTGATAATATCAATAATTATGCCATTATCGATAACAGTGCAATAAATAGACAAATAAGTAAATAAATAAATGATTATAATAAGGCTAATTGGCAACATCAGTTTTAACAGCAATTGTGCATTACCGTTTTCGTCTTTTTTCTGTATCTTATATGTTTTCCTTTGTTCTTCTCTCTCTCTGTCGCTTATTTCCTTCTTTTTCGTATTATTTACTACTCACAGTGCAATATATTTGTCTGTGATACGGTCACCCACATGCTAAACCATTTACTGATTCATTATTATCATTATTTTCTACTACTACTACTACTATTACTACTACTACTACTATTATTATCATTGTTATCATTATCAGCATTATCTTTATCCTAAGTATCATTATCTTTATCATCAGTAGCATTATCTTCCTCGTCATTCCATTATCGCTATCATTATCTTTGTCATCATTATCATTGTAATTATTTGCAGTATCATTATCATTAGCATCATTTTATCCTCGTTATTATCACCATTGCCATCATTATTACTATCAGGAGAGAGAAAGAAGAGGAGGGAGAAAGATAAGGTAGTAGCGAGAAGGGGGGGGGGGGGGGAGTTGGTTTGATTTGCAACTCTCATGACAAGTTCTTGACTAATGGCTAAATGGCGAGAGAGAGAGAGAGAGAGAGAGAGAGAGAGAGAGAGAGAGAGAGAGAGAGAGAGAGAGAGAGAGAGAGAGAGGGGGGGGGGGGTGAGAACGAGAGAGTGAGAGAGAGAGAAAGAGAGAGGGAGAGAGAGAGAGAGAGAGAGAGAGAGAGAGAGAGAGAGAGAGAGAGAGAGAGAGAGAGAGAGAATGAAAGAGAGAGAGAGACTGAAAGTGAGACTGAAAGTGAGAATGAGAGAGAGAGAGAGAGAGAGAGAGAGAGAGAGAGAGAGAGAGAGAGAGAGAGAGAGAGAGAGAGAGAGAGAGAACAAAAGAAAAAAAAAGAGAGAAAGGGAAGAAAAAGAATATATATATAATAATAATAATAAGAAACCAGAAAACAACCTCGCCCCCCCCCAAAAAAAAAAAAAAAAAAAAAAATCCACACACACCCATACAAAAAAAAAAGAGATCCAGATTTCGAAGAATATAGAAAAAGACAAATAACCCAGATACGAAAGCAAAACACAAAGACACGCCACAAGAAGTCACATTAAGATAAGAACAAGTAAGACTGTGATTTTCCCTAATTGGTTTATCAGCTGATGGAGGGAAAGGGAGGGGAAAGGGGGGGGGAGGGGGGGGAGGCAGCACGCGCAGAGATAAGGAAGTTGTCGAAACAAAGAGGGGAGGGAAGAGTAATTTTCGAATGGGGGGGGGGGAGGGGAGATCTAAGAATGGGGGAAAAGGGAGATCTTAAAATGGGGGGAGGGGAGGAGGGGTAAGAGTAGGTAGGAGAAGAGGGGGAGAGAATGGGAAAATGGGAGAATGGGGAATAGGCAAAGGAGAAGAAAAAGGAGAATGGGACAGAATGGGGCAGATCTTTGGGGGGTGGGGGGGAAGAGGGGAGACGTTGTATGTGAGCGGATGGCGGGGGGGGGGGGAGGCATAGTAGGGGAGAAAGTAAAAGAGGGAAGAAGGGAAGGGGAAGAAATAAGGGAGGAATTAGAAGAGAGGGTGAGTGAGGGAGGGGAAAGATAGGGAGGAGGAGAGGAGATAAATAAAGGAGGATAGGGTGAGAAAGATGATGATAGATGGGATAGGAAAGGAGGAAAATGATGTAGAAGAGGGAAGAAGGGAAGGAGTGAGAGAAGAGAGTAACAAAGCATAGTAAGGGTGGAGAAAGGATAGTGGAGAGGGGGTGGGGAGGGGAGACGGAATAATAGGAGGGGGGAGTAGGAGGGGGAGATAGGTGGGAGATAGTAAAGGGAAGAGGAGGGAGGGGGGGTGGAAATAGTGGGAATGTATTTATAGGACTTGTGAGATAAAAGGATTTGTAGAAGGGGAAAAAGGTAGAGACTGACAGATTGAGAGAGGGAGAGCGAGGGAGGGGGACGGAGAGGGAGAGAGAGAGAGAGAGAGAGAGAGAGAGAGAGAGAGAGAGAGAGAGGGGGGGGGGGAGGGAGGGAGAGCGAGTGAGGGGGACGGAGAGAGAGAGAGAGAGAGAGAGAGAGAGGGATAGAGAGAGAGAGAGAGAGAGAGAGAGAGAGAGAGAGAGAGAGAGAGAGAGAGAGAGAGAGAGAGAGAGAGAGAGAGAGAGAGAGAGAGAGTCATCATTGTTATTATTATTATTATCGTGTTTGTTCTGTTATTACTGTTATCATCATCATTACCACCATCCCAATATCATTATCATCATAATGTTCATCACCATTACCACTGTCGTTATTTACATTGTCAATAATAACGGAAACAGTGCCAATATCACCATTAACATATCACCATCAGTATTATAACCCGTAAACCGGTCACCATAACCACAATGAAAATACTCACTCCTTTCTTTTTTCTCTCTTCTTCCCTAGGCTGGGCCATGAAGTGGGTACGGTTCAGCGTGCCGACGTGGGCATCTCGAGGTGAAGACGTGAGACTGACATGCGACTATGACCTGGAGGGCGAGCAGCTGTACTCAGTCAAGTGGTATAAAGCCGGGAGGGAGTTTTACCGATATGTACCCGGTGATTGGCCTCCTCAGCAATCTTTCTCACTTCATGGTGTTCAGGTTGATGTAAGTATTGTGATGTGGTTTGATATTGTGTGGGGTTTGGTGTGATGTGGTACTGGGCGGTGTTGTGATGTGGTGTGTGGCGTGGCGTGGTATTGTGTGGGGTTTTGGTGTGATGTGGTGCTGGGCGGTGTTGTGATGTGGGTGTGACGTGGTGTAGTATTGTGCGGGCTTTGGTGTGATGTGGTGCTGGGCGGTGTTGTGATGTAGTGTGGTGTGGTATTGTGCGGGATTTGGTGTGATGTGGTGCTGGGCGGAGTTGTGATGTGGCGTGGTATGGTATTGTGCGGGGCTTGGTGTGATGTGCTGGGCGGTGTTGTGATGTGGTGCTGGGCGGTGTTATGATGTGGTGTCGTGTGGCAAAGTGTTGATATGGTGTGGTGTTGTGATGTGGTGTGGTGTGTGGCGTGGTGTGGTATTGTGTGGGGTTTGGTGTGATGTGGCGCTGTGCGGTGTTGTGTGTATTGTTGTGGTGTAATGATGGCGTTAAGTGATGTGACGTGAGTGTTTAGTGATATATATATTTTTTAACTCGTTTTTAAGGGGTGATTTTGTTTAGGGGAGGGAATCAGGGACGGTGAGAGGGAAAGGGAGGAAGAGAGAAAGAGAGAGAGAGAGAGAGAGAGAGAGAGAGAGAGAGAGAGAGAGAGAGAGAGAGAGAGAGAGAGAAAGAGCAACCCAAAGAGCTAGTGCATGTATTTCCTTGAATGAGGCTTTGGTTCCACTACCCCATTTAACAAACTCCGAAAATAAATCCATGTCAGGGATCTACCGTTCCTCTGACCAGAGGAACAAAGCGACCCAGAGCTAGAAGACTCTTGCCCCAGAGTGGGTTGTTTTATCTATTTATCTATTTCACGGGGAATGAGGAACTACAGATTAAGAATGTCTTAAAATATCGGTAAATATCACAATGCAATCAGAGCCTCACTAAAACTCTCTGAAGTCAACTGTAACGCAACTCAAACTACCGAGATAGCTCAGGATCCAGGAATGAATCGGAGTAATGGAAACTAGGTTGAGTCTTGAATAACCCTGGGTGAGTTTAGATATTGGAACCTGTGTTGTGTCTGTATAATGGAACCGGGGGTGAGTCTGGGTAGGAGAACCTGGGGTGAGTCTGAGTAGTGGAACCTGGGGTGAGTCTGGGGTGAGTCTGGGTAGTGGAAACTAAGGAGGGTCAAAATTGTGGAACCAGGTATGAATCTGGGAAATGGAACCTGGAGTGAGTCTGGGTAATTGAACCTGTTCTGAGCATGAACAAACCTGGGGGTTAGTCTGGGTAATAGAACCTGGGATGAATCTAGACAACTGAACAGTAGTAGTAAAACCTAAGCTGGACCCAAGTAGCTGAACTCCAACTTAACGTTTCCCTCTGTCGCTCTTCCTCCTCCGCCCTGCTCTACTCTGCCAGAGAGGAATTTAGTCATCAAAACGTAAAGACTTCCCTCTCTCTTTGTGTAATGAACTAGCGGTCGTCGAGGCGTGAGAGTGTTAAGCATGATGCAATATGCAAGTTGAGGTAATGAAAAGTGGCGTAAGCATGGTCATGAAGGGAGAGTAGAAGAGCATACTAAAGGAATGGCATTATCTTTGTCATTGTTGCTTTGTTGTTATTATCATGACTGTTATGAATATAGTTATCATTATTATTAGTATTGATATCGTTAGTATAATTAGTAATAGTCATAATATTCGTAGTAGTAGTAATAGGAAAAGTTGCAGCAGTAGCAAAACCAGTGATTGTAGTAGAATTGTTGTAGCTATTGCAGTAGTAATAGCAGCAGTGGTGATGTGAATATTTGCAGTAGTACTTGTTGTTGCAGAAGTAGGTGTAGTTGCTATTGCAGTAGTTGTATTAGTAGCAACAGCAGCAGTAACTATAAGCAGTAGTAGTACTACTACTACTATTATTAGTAGTAGTAATTACATCACTACTAATATTAGTAGTAGTGATGTAATTAGTTGTAGCACTAGTAGAGGTAGTAGTAGAAGCAGTAATAGTAGTAGCAGTGGTAGTGTAATAGTAGTTGTTGTAAAAGACAAAAAAACAACAGCGACAGTATAATAGCAACTACAACGATGCTGCTGCAGTAACGTTCATAATATTATGATAACGTTTACAAAACTATCATCGTTATTTATGCCGCTATCATCACCCGTTCCAATAACCCTTCTCTATCTATCTCCCCCATCCACATCTCATCCTTTCCTATCCATCACTCAGACATTTCGAAACCTTTCTTTTACTCGAACGAAACACTAACCGAAGCTGGTGGTCGACCCATGTTTTCAGGGTTATAAACAC